TTGAAATATTTTGCCCTGTTCCTCATCAACATGTGGGAGTACTGCACGTTATATTTTATTTTTTATTTTTTTTAAAGATTTATTTTTATTATTTTCTCATTGGAAAGGCGGATATACAGAGAGGAGAGACAGAGAGGAAGATCTTCCGTCCCATGATTCACTCCCCAAGTGAGCGCAACGGGCCGATACTATGCCCATCCGAAGCCAGGAGCCTCTTCTGGGTCTCCCACGTGGGTGCAGGTTCCCAAAGCTTTGGGCCGTCCTTGACTGCTTTCCCGGGCCACAGGCAGGGAGCTGGAAGGGAAGCGGGGCTGCCGGGGATAGAACCGGCGCCCATATGGGATCCCGGGCGTGCAAGGCGAGGACCTTTAACCACTTGCGCCACCGCGCCGGGCCCTGCACGTTATATTTTAAAATACAATTTTTTGTTTGTTTGTTTTTAAGAAGTTGGTGCTGCTGATTGATACTCAGGAATGTACCTTGGCAGCAAAGTGATGAACTACAGGCTATCTGAAGACAAGGATCTTTCTGTTGCAATCACTTTAACAGGCAACTAGCCCCTGTTGCATTCTAAATACCCCCATGCGTTTTTACAGGGAGCAAATTTCCCCTCCATCCAAGATGAATACCTCAGCCTAATCAGGACATTTTGTTGGCGTTTTCCCTAAAACCTATGTTTTAGGCCGTCCCCTGCCCGGCATTGCCAGACTGTAGAGCAAAGTCCCTGCTTGTTTGTCTTGTTTTCCCACAAGTGACAAATTACTTAAGGGGAGAGTCTGTCTCATTTATTGTATATATCCTTAGTACTCTGGGCAGTTGTTGGACCATAAAAGGCACTTAGGGAATGAGCATTAATTTTCAAATGATCTGGAAGGAAAATAACATAAATGATCTATAAATGAACAGCTTGCTTTACACCTCCCTGTACAGGATTGTTCTCCACTGCCGTGCTTTTCCCTAACTTAAATGCTGGATGGCATATTCTCTGAAGGGCAGAAGAAGTGGTGCATGTTGCCGACAAAAGAGCTTGGGTGTTTAGGAGGGTGCACCCTGGAATAGAAATGCACACGCATGTCATCCTTCGATCAGACCCGAGAACTTGCTGGATTCGGCAAATGACAAAACGTCTCCCCAGGACTAGACTAATACATCAGCAGTTGTCATTTTCAACTGGTGCTTTCCGTCATGAAGGACAGCTGCTTTGCCAAGGCCAGAAAGTGTTGGCCACTTTCAAGGTCACTATCCCTTCTCAATTCTGGCACGGAGTCTGGAGTCTGGCAAGCCTGCCTTCTTAAAGTGGATTAGGTGTCCCCCACCCCTGAGAGCAAGAGGGCTGGCTGCACTCCATACTCTCCCTCTGAAATGTCTACTGTTGTTCTCCGAGGAGTCACTGGTTCCGCCCAGATCTGGGCCTGACTCATGCTCCCTGACCCGTGCACGCTTCCAGACATGGCCACTGCCTGTACCTGCTACACCTGTAAGCTTTCTGATATCACCTTATTCTGATAGATAAGTCACAAATTAGCTTATGTGCAAAACAGAATTGGGTACTGGGCTACAATCCAAAAAGCAAAGCAATAAAATGAGTGAACAAATGAATAAATAAATGTTTCAAAACATTTGAATAATTACATGAAATTTCATATTTGTTTTCTGGCAGTTCCTTAAAACCATAAATGTGGGTGTCTGGATGGTGGTATAGTGAGCTAATCCTCCACTTGCGGCTCAAGCACCCCATATGATCCCTGGTTAATGCCCTGGTTGCTTTGCTTTCAGTTCAGATCCCTGCTTATGATCTGGAAAGACAATGCAGGATAGCCAAAGTTCTTGGACCCCTGCATTCATGCGGTAGACCCCGAAAGAATCTTCTGACTCCTGGATTCTAATGGGCTCTGCTCTTTCTTAGCCATTTGGGGAGTGAGCCAGCTGGTGAACCATCAGATGGAAAATCAATCAATCAATCAATCTCTGTGTGTGTGTGTTTCTTCTCTCTGAAAAATCTGCCTTTCAAATAAAGAAGAATAAAATATCTTAAACAATCATAAACTCACACATCTCTGCATGAAACAGAGGGGAGGGTGACTTTATCAAAAGACTAGCTAAATCTTCTTCAGAAAAGCAATGAGGGAATCCAGCAACCCAGACATAACTAACCCTTCATGGCCAGTGATCCCAGTTGGGTTTTCCCACCTCAAAGAAAGCTGGTGGGTACAGTGACTGTCTATAGCCAAAACAACCAAAGGGGTGATGGTACACATGGGGATTGATGCCGGAACAGAAATGGGTGTAGCATGCTCAGCGATATGCGAGCTTGTTGTGTGACAATCAGGAATGTTGGAAGAGGGTAAGAAAGGAAAAACAGCACATGCTCCTGCGACTTTGTTACTTCTTAAGCCTCATGTTTCTCTACCCTCGTGGCTTTAGCTACAGACACACACACAGAGATCTTTATGTTTACCAGGGAACTTCAAAAAGGCTATAAAAAATGAGATTAAAAATTTTTATTTTGGTGCATAAAAATTGAAAATCCATGTATAATTTCTTTTATAATATCCATTTTCCATTTACTTTTTTTTTTTACCATTTACTTTTTAAGGCTACTCATATGCGTGGTTTTTAAAAAAACGTTCACAACAAAATTAAATTATCTTTTACTTCCATTTTCCACAGACTGTTTTGACGGGCTGTCGCGCGCGCGCACACACACACACACACACACACACGAATGCAGCTGGAGCTTGGGGCGCATATTCCTGGAGAGATAAACATTCGGCATAGCAATATAGGTCGATAGGTATACAGGTATCCTTGCACTTTAAACGGAGACATCGCATTTGTTAGTTCTGAACCAGTGTGTTTTAGACGGCGAGCCCCCTGGCTGGCACCGCGAGGAAAGCTGCTTTGGCTGACTTCTGGGATCACCTGTCTGCAACCCTGTGGAAGGGGCTTTCAGAACCTTCCTGAGGTTTTCCTAGCGGCCCGGTGCCTCCCATCCTTGCGCGCAATCGGAGACGCCAAAGAAACAACCCCTGCTGGGGTTGGGAGGGCAAGAACGGGGGACACCACCCTCCAGGTCTTCCAGCCGCTCCGTAAGTGGGAAAACAGAGAAGTTGGACTTGACCAAAACCTCAGAGAATTGCTCCCTCCGCAGCAACTCTTCCCCTGAATCGGGATGCTGCGAGTCAGGGCTCTGGCCCCGTGCCCGGGTTTGGCCCCAGCTCCCAGGGCCTGTTGCCTTCGCACCCTCACCCCACGCTCCTCACGAGGGCACCGTCCCCCGCATCCGCCCCAGCACCGCTTCGTTCTGACGTCTGCCTCCAGGACTCTGACGATCGCCCCCGCCGGCCGCCCTTATAAAGGGGACCCGTCCCGATACTCGGATCAATCGCCGCCGCCTTGCCCTCTGCCGCGCCCGCACCTGTCCGCTCCGCGCCCTTCCAGATCTTTGCCCCCGCGGGGCAAGGCGCCGAGGTGACCGTGCGGACCCCAGCCCCTGTCCTCTCCAAACTGCACCCCTGGCCACTTCACCTGCTTTGCTAGAATCCACTTTAGAACGGACACACCCCACAGTTCCAGGGGCGGCGGCCGGGGCGGAGCCCTACCGGGAGAAGCGCATCTCCACCAAGGCGACCACTCCAGGTAAGTGCGCTACGGAGCCGGCGTCTCGGGCTCCTGGGCCGCGCCCTCGGGTCCTCGGTGGCCCCGGAGCTGGGGAGTGTTGGAGGGGACGGGACGTGGTTCTTTGGTATCCCGGTTGGGACGCGCCGCCGGACGTCTCTCTGGCCCTTACAGTTTGCCTGGTGCAAGAGACTACAAAGAAGTCCCCTACCCCCTTCCCTCCCACCCACCCCCGGGGAAGCCGCAGGGGAGCAGGGAAGCTCTGGGATCGCAACCCCAGAAAGCACTTGATGGAATCACAAAGGCAGACAGAGCCCGCCAGGCCCGCCCAAGGATGCTTTTTCTTTTTCTTCTTTTTTCTTTTTTCTTTTGGCTCCCTGAATCTTTGGGAAGCTCCTTGGCTCCATTTCCAGCAACCATCTACCACCTGCTTGCACAAGTATGTGAGTTCGCTCAGAAACTTGTGTGTGAATTAAGGTGCACGAATTAGCTGTGATGAGCATGACAAGAAAAACAAAAGAGCAGCAGTGTTACAGCTGAAGGACTTAGAGTTTGACATTTGTCTTCTGACAGTCTTTTTTTTTTTGGTTGCTTTGTTTCGCCTTTAATACCCTCTACCCTCCATTACGTTCTTAGGCAATTGGTCTTTTTAAAGTATTGTGTGTGTGTGTATGCTATTAGGGGAATGGGAGGGAGAAGCTCTGAAAGGAGCAAAAGGCAATGGACCATCAACACATTGGAGCTTTCAACAATAACACTTCTTTGCTTAAGGGAACCTTGAACCACAGGAACTTGTTGAAAATGTGGATTTGAATTTTAGAAACTGATTTTCCTGAATTGTTCCTGTCCTGATATTTTCCATCTAAGGTTGCTTAAGGGAACCATTTCCTAAAATTGTTCAAAATGATAAATGAGAGGGCTGACTGAATGAGTGAATATTTAAAAATTATTACAGTAAGTTATTTCAAATATACTTACATTACTGAAAAAAAATCTAACCTAGCAACTTAATTCCAAAACCCGAATAAGTCTATATTTTTTTTTGTAAAGGCTTTATTGATAGAGTTAGTAAGAATGTTCATTTTTAAGTAGTAAGAATTTATTCAAGACAAATAATTATGATCCTACTTGTAACATGTTTCCATATTTTCTTGCTTCTGTTAAGAGCTGGAAAAATATTTAATTCTGTAACAGAGACAGAACAAGAGAGCGCTTATTTGTAGTGATATCTCTTGATTCCAACCTCTCTTTCTTTAAGTGGCAGATTTCTCGTAAACCTTTTTTTTTAAATTCCTGGCTGCCTTGTAATGCGGGATTGTATTTTTCTTCAGAAGTCTTCATGAAGTAGCCAGCTGCAGAGGAATCCAGACTCATAGGTTAAAATGGCTTTCCATGTGGAGGGATTGGTGGCAATCATTGTGTTCTACCTTCTGATACTGCTGGTTGGAATATGGGCAGCATGGAGAACGAAGAACAGCGGCAGCGCGGAAGAGCGCAGTGAAGCCATCATAGTTGGTGGCAGAGACATCGGTCTGTTGGTGGGAGGCTTCACCATGACAGGTAGGTTTGGACATGGTCAGCCTTTCCTTGGCTCCTCTGGGTACAGCATGCAGCTTTGAAGTAATTAAGCCCTTTGCTTCTAAGATATTTTCAATGTTAATTTGAAAGTTAAGTGGTTTCAACTATGCCGTACTTGAACAAACTTGATTTTTATCCTAAGCTACTGGACAGAATGTCAAGGAAACAGGTCTGGACTCAGAGGAGTTTGGTGGGTGGAAACAGTGAAAACAAAGCCTGTCGTAGGCACCTGCTGGTGAGGCTGAGCCCATGATGACACACATGAAGCTGTGACGTGGTGGTGACATAGGTCAACTTGGTGGCCATACAATTCCCACCTGATGCGTATCCGATTCTGAAATCGAATTCCCCCACATAAAAACGAATTCCATTCCCCAAAGACAATCCTGTATTACAATGCTAGAAAGATTTCCAGGAAATTTGGTTTGAGAGGAAGAAAGCAGGGGTGTGTCCTCGCCAGCCTTGCTCAGCCACAGAGTGATGCTGCCTCCTTCAGACCCAGCTGCTTTTAGGGGAAGCTACTTTGTTCTCCAGTGCCGGAAGCTGCTTCTATGTAAACAATGATCTGTCTCCCTTTTATATGCTTCCTGATCATTCAAAATAATTTGTAAGAACAACTAAAAATTATATTTAGTATGATTTGGTACATGTTCACTAACAGCATGTTTCATTTCAGAGTGTCAGTAGGGTTTGAAGCTTGAACAAATCAGAATCGTGACTTGTGGGAACTCTGGGTGTTCATTGGGAAACTAGCCCTTTGGGAATCCTATCCAAAAGATACCCAGCTTTGGTCTTGGATGTTATTTTTAAGAGATTCACCCTGTAGATGGAGTCGTTCAGGGAACCACTCTGTAAGGACAACACCCATGTCCTAAAGGTACTGACATTGGCCACCGGATGCCTGCCATGCTCTGGGTGGACTGGGGATTTTCTCATCTCACGTACAATGGAGTTGCTGTTAGCTGTACACAGACCCCTTTAGTCTTTATCATGGCCCTGTGTGAAGGCTCTGAGGAATCCAGTGCTTCAGGATTACAAGGCCTGGAGCCCGGACCAAACCCAGATTATTCTGGTGGCCAGACTGCGTCACAGGCAACTCTCACTGGTCTCACTTTCTTTATAAACGTGCATCATTTGTTAAATGTGTTGGCAAGAATAAATGAACTGCTGTGTATCAAGCTATTTTGTTCATTGTGAATTATCATAATATTCTATTACTAGAGTTTAAAATTCTATTTGATATATTCATTATGATAACATTTCCGAATATGGTCTTTTAGAAATTACAGTGTTTTTTTTTCCAATCTAATGGGTTATTAAGATGTATAGAAAAGATTCAAATAATATCATTCTAAAGTAGCATAGTTTAGGTCAGTTTCTGAAGAGCTATTTATTTGATCTTTTAGTACTCAAAGCAACTTAGTCAATATTACAGTGTTGCAATTCACTTAGAAGCTCAACTATATTGTCAAAGCTTCATCCGATGCTTTGGAATCTATTTCATGATGAAGAAGACTAAAAATGCTCATTCCTTTGACATATATGTAGTTTTTAAAAGCTTGTATTCTCGCTCACAAATTTCATTCCAAATATATAAGCACAGGGAGCAAATACTGGCATAAAAAGAGCTAGATTAAACATTTCAGAGGGATTTTTGTTTAGTCATAATAAATAGCCTGGTCTTCACATCTATTTCATAACAGATCAAGTATTTAGGTAACAATCTACCTTTTTTTTGGACAGACAACTGGAGACTGACATGGTGTAAAATGCCCATAACCAGCTCAGTGCCCGTCTGATCAGCAGCACGCTCACTGGATGCAGGGGGGGCTGTGCTGGTCTGCTAGCCGTCCCCTATACTAGCAAGTGCGTTATGCCTTCTAGTCCATGCTGTAACAATCCATTTTTCAGAAGCTTATTCTGCCTTGGGGAATGGGGTCGGGAGACATTTTTTTTTTTATTACAATGTAAAATGAGAAGAAGAAATGGTGGGATTTGTTATTTGTTTGCAACCAATATGAAATGTCTTGTGAAGGAACAGTTACAGATAAGTACATATTTGTGCATCATAGGATTCTGTGTACACTTTGATTTAAGTGCACTTGAAAGTCATATGTCACATAGCCTTTCCATTTTATTCTTTTAAAAAATATAGCTTTCACTCCCAAATACTTTACTTTGTGCTGGATGAAGAGACAGATAAACTCTGACGTAAACACAAAAGAAACTTAAATTGTTTTGCATACCACTGTGGAATAGAAGTAAAAGACCTCGTATTTTAACTAGGAGATTTAAGGGATTTTTTGGTTAAAATATATTTCCAATGATATTGTTGTATCTAATAAATGTCTTACAGCCTATAACTGTCATAATGTTACACAAAGAACATAAGGTTTGCTTTGACAATTTGTCAATACCCATGTTTTGAAGTATTTATTTATTTGAGAGGCAGGATTACAGAGAGGGGGGGGAAAAACAGACAGAGAGATCTTCCGCTGCTGGTTCATTCTTGTACAAGCCGCCATGAGCTGGACTGGTCCAACGCCAGGAGTCAGGAGCTTCTTCTTAGTCTCTTTCCTGTATTCCCCCGGGTGCAAGGACCCAAGTACTTGGACCATCCTCATCCGCTGCTTCTTTTATTCTTTTGGGTAAAAGTCCATTTGTCACATCTGAAGTACTAGATTTTCCTCTCAGTGTAGCTAATAATTCGTAGATCATTCTTGTCCCAGATTTGTTTAACCAATACTCTTGGCCTCCCTCATTTAGTTATTAGGCTAAAGAAACTTAAGAAATCTGAAGCAGACACAGATTCTATTGTCTAGGCAAAATCAAATGCTTTAGTAAATGCAAGAATAAAAACATTGAGTCCCTGTGCAAGCAGAATCCTACGTTCTCTTGAGTCTAGGCCCTAAATGTACGTTGGGCGGTTGAGATCCAAGAGGGAAAAGATAATCAACATTCACCTCACCTTAGGGTAGAAGTGTTCCTGTCTCTTCACCCCTGGTAACTGAAGGCAGGAAGTGCAGCTGCACTGAGATACCGATTAGTTTTGCTCGATCCTGTGTCCCCAGAGTGTTTAAAGAGAAGACAAAGGATACCACTGGATCTGTGTATACATGCATCAGTCCCCACACCATGCACATATACATGCACACAGATTTGTATGCATACATGAAAACATGTCTACACACACCGTTTTTCAAGGGCCAATGCAGTTAAAAGGGAAAAGGCTGGAAATAAAGACCCTCTATCTCCTATGTGGGGATCATTGAGAATGAAACAAGAACATTTGTCTTGCATAATCTCAGGGCTTATGCTATATCATAAAATCATTAAAATGTGTGGACAACTAGATGTGTTTAACCGCCACCACCACCGCTCCCCCACTCCCTGGGCAACATTCTCCAGTAGAAATCTCAGTATAAGCCAAAAATATCACATTATTTTCCTATACAACTTTTGCAAAAACCTGAAAATGATGAAAGTGCTAACTAACTTGATCATCAGACATTGAATATGTGTTGGGTTATTGCACTGTACTCCATGAATATACATAACAAAAATAATACAGTAACCAGTGTTAATGCTTATTTAACATAATATGCTTTAATATTATCATTTTAATATGTCATTTATACATAACATAGTAAGGGAAGCTAAACTTGGGATATACACAAGTTGTCAGACTTCACAAGTATTATAGAAAATTGAAAATATTCCGAAATAAAACGTTAAAAAAAAAAAACCAGAAAACCTTTGAAATCCTGCGTTTCATACCTGTACAACATCTCAGTCTGGATGAGCTCTGTTGTCGATGCCACATAGCTACAAAAAGAGTGGCCAGCACATCGGACAATGTGGGTTCATTCCCTCCCTTCTTTGCTCTGTTTCAGCCACCTGGGTAGGAGGAGGGTACATCAATGGAACAGCCGAAGCAGTTTATGTACCAGACTACGGTCTAGCTTGGGCTCAGGCACCAATCGGATATTCTCTTAGTCTGATCCTGGGTAAGTGAAACTTCAAATCTCAATGACTCATTCAGGTAAGCAGTAACAACAGGAATAGAACAAGTCACACGTTGAGTAACGAGTGAAGGAGGACATGTCACCCAGGCCCTCCAAATACCTAATACCCGACATTGATAAGTGCAGAACACTAATGCATACATTCTTTGGTCTCTTGATTGTAGGCCACGTAAAAGTTTGAATTCCTCGGAGCACATGGATAGCTGAGCAGTGAATTTCTTCACACAGTCACATTTCATTGCTTTAAAAGCACACAGCTATTCAAAATGAATCAAGCTGATTATACCAGAATTTCCTTTTGCAAATCAAACTAGTAAGAGGTTACCTCTTCTCTCCCCACAGCCTGTCTCTACATTCAGCATGCTTTTCCTGTGTTGGCTCAGAATGCCTCCGTACTGTGGTGGGCGACACAGAGCACTAAGACGTTTTAATGAGCCCAGTGCTACTCTGTGCTTTCTAACTCCATGCCTCAGTTGTACTGTCCATCTGTCCTTTGGACACTTCCGCATACGGTGTTAAGATTGTTATTGCAGTACTGAAGAGTTCTTGTGACTGTCTTCCAGGATAATTCAGACCGGTTCCCCAATCTGGCTGTTTCTGAAAATGCCAATCCGTTGAGACTTCATAGCATGGGCAAAGTTTGGCAAGGTCTACTACAACTCTTAAACTTTCTCATGTCAATATCCATTGAATTTATTTCAGGTGGTCTGTTCTTTGCAAAGCCTATGCGTTCCAAGGGCTATGTGACCATGTTGGACCCGTTTCAGCAGATCTATGGGAAACGCATGGGTGGACTCCTGTTTATCCCTGCACTGATGGGGGAAATGTTCTGGGCTGCAGCCATCTTCTCTGCCTTAGGTAAGGACCAAGGGAGCATGCTTCCGCTCAGCCTCTCCAGTTAACTGCACACCAGGTGCACAGCCTCATTCAGCGACCGTTGCTGCTCACAAATTACTGAATCACATATTGAATGATGTTTATGGTCACCGACGCTTCACAGAAATTCTACACTTATCCACAACACAGCTACAGTGGCTAAAGAAAACCGTGACTGCATTTGTTTTTTACTTGAATTGTATCAACAGAGTGACGCCCCTGAGGTTTTTTTTTTTTTTATGATGAATAAGAAATGTTTATTTAAAGGAAATTTTCATGGCAATATTCCATAAACCAGGGATTAAGGACGATATTAGCAAACATTTTGGGTGTTTTGGAGCGTTAAGTGTGTCCAATTACTTCCTTCCTGTGAAAAGAGAATTTTGTTTTACCTCCTATTGGTTTTTCTATCCTTTCTTCGAAAAGGGGATAGCTTACCACCTAATGATTTTTCTAATAGTAAGTAGTTTTGGTTGACACAAAACTAAACTTCTCAAAGGACCCAATCCCAAGTGCTATAAAAGAAACTAAAACTTTTAAAGATGTTGATTTATAAAAAGTCATTTTGCTGTCTTTTAAAGCACTTTTAAGGTTTATTTACTTATTCATTTGAAATGCAGTGGGAGAAAAGAAGAGGAAGAGAGGGAAAAAGGGAGCGGGAGAGAAAGAGGATGGGGACAAGAAAGAAAGAGAGGAAGACAAAGAGAAAGAGGAGAGAAGCGAGGTTGTCTGTGATCGGTTTAATGCCTGCAGTGTTGGGCCGGGCCAGGCAAAACAGAAGCCAGGAATTTAATCCAGGTGTCCCACGTTGATGGCAGGAACCCAGACAGAGCCATCATTTCCTATCTCCCAGTCTGCTTTGGCAGGAAGCTGAAATGGTGAGTAAAGCTGGGACTCAAACTCCCAAGTATCCACTTAAATAGCTAAATATCTATCGCTATCTTTGTTTTAATTTATTTTAAAGCCCAGTATCTGCTAGGATTTAAAACGCACTTAAAGCTCTGATGTTGTTACATGTAGCTAATTCCCACAGTCAAGTACTCTTTTCAGGATTAGTTTACCGCAAGCCAAAATCCCAGACAGAATGAGGTATTAGGAGGTCCTTAATTTCAATAGGAATGGGAGTGAGGGTGGAAGGGGAGCAGAAAGGGAAACATTTCCTGCCATGGTGGGAGGATGAAGGCTGCCAGGACAGGGGTGCGGGACAAGATGGAGGAGGCAGGTAAGAAGGGAAGGGAGAGGGGGAAGAAGAAGGGAGAGGCTGTGTGTCAGCCCCAAGGACTGGCAACTGAAATGATCTGAGCCACAGGTAGGTGGGTGAAGACTATGGGGAGGGGCCGTGAGAGACTGGGGAGTCGGATTCTGAGGTGAGGTGCCAGGTTACATCCGCTTGGTGGAAAACCAGACTGGCCTAAAATTTGTGAGCTGTGGGGAAGGGGAAGCAGGTCGGGGCTCTTGGTCCAAGATGGGATGTTGGAGTCACTCCTCACAGTATCAGAACAGGCAGTGATGGCAGCAGCTAAGATGCCACGGTGACACCTGCATCTTGTATCAGAGTCTGAGTTCAAGTTCCGGATCTGTATTGTCTCCAACTTCCTGTTAATCTGCGCCTGGGCAGTGCAGGAGATGGCTGGTGCATTCAGATCCCTGCCACCAGTAAGGAGAACCCCTTTGAGTCCTCTTTAGTTCTGACTGCTATGAGCATTTGGGGAGTTAATCAGCAGATCAGGGATACTGTTTGCTCTGTGTAGCTCTGTGTGTGTACGAAGTAAATAAGCTAAATATGTAAGTATTAGAAAAACAAATATAACATCAAGTGTCAATGTTAACTGTAAATAGAATTCCCAGGAAATGAGCTATCACAAGAACTCTGCTGACAGAATACATGATTAGCATAAACTACTAGCAAAACCACCAAACTTGAAATATTTGAATAAATTAACACCTGTAAAAGCACAGAACTATGGTTTGTTAGTAGACAATTTCAGGATGAAAGAATTCAGCCAGAACTTCCATCTAGTTGATATGTGTTCTTACTAACTCACATAAGAAACCATCCCAATCCCGAGGTTCCTGTCAACTCTAATGCAATTTTAGAAACCCAGACATGCAGGTGCTCCACCTGTAGCTGGTGAGACCCTCTCAACAGAGCAGGACTGCTGAGGCAGCTGGAAATAGAACCCCCTAGCCAGAAACTGAGTCTGCCTCATCTGCAGTCTCATTCTGAGGCTTACTCAGGTCTTTCCCATCACATGTCCATGTCCCCATCTGGCAGGTGACCCGGTCTCTTCCTTTCCTTGCCCACCTTTTTCTGTGCCCTTGCAGTTCTGTTTGCAGTTCTGCCCTCTGTACCATCTGCACATGATGGCCATTCAGGTCCTTCTAACATCAGATCTCATCACGTGCCTCTGCTGATTAAAACTAAACTTTTGGATAGGTCCCATGTGTACGAGTTGAGTTTTATTTTTTTTAAAGATTTATTTTTATTATTTATTAATTGGAAAGGCGGATATACAGAGAGGAGAGACAGAGAGGAAGATCTTTTGTCCTATGATTCACTCCCCAAGTGAGCACAACGGCCGATACTATGCCAATCCGAACCAGGAGCCTCTTCCGGGTCTCCCACGCAGGTGCAGGGTCCCAAAGCTTTGGGCCGTCCTCGACTGCTTTCCCGGGCCACAGGCAGGGAGCTGGAAAGGAAGCGGGGCTGCCGGGATAGAACCGGCACCCATATGGGATCCCGGGCGTGCAAGGCGAGGACCTTAACCACTTGGGCCACTGCGCCACCGCGCCTAGCCCACGAGTTGAGTTTTAATTTTTCCCTTTCATCATTCATCTTAACCCATTGACTCTTCCTTCTGTGAACTGCGTTTCTTCTTTCTCGCCTCTGACGTGATGTAAGCCCAGACACATGGGCTTTTTGCACTCATCTGCCCTCTTCCCCATCTCGTCATCGGCCTGGCACATCACCAGCACTTTCAGATTAGCTCATGCACATTACTTCCTGGACCAGTCACCTTTCCTCTGGGCTCCCTTATGCAAATGGGAATGTTCTTTTCCACGAAGTTACATTATTCCATATGATGCCTTGCTCATTTCTTTGTTTCATGCACAATTCTCAACTGTGAACACGGATTATATTGTGTTATCCAATCACAAAGGAATCTATAAAACACTTCTAAGTATGCCTACTTCAAAAAAGCAATACCGCCTTTTGACTCACCAGTGTAATCCAATTATGTATTGAATTTTAGACACCTGTAGGGATCTGAAAATTGAACTTAGATGATTGGCTCTTGGATTTTAGATCTACTTGTAAGATAACATGAGGTGGGATCATCAAAGATCTTCAGGCTTATTATTTTCTCTTTGGGCCAAGAGTGATTTCACACCATCCCACTGAACACTAGCGATTCCTTCTTGGGAATTAGCAGGCTAGTGGCTGAGTAGCTTTCCTCAGTGAGTTAATACTACTGTTTGGTATCTGGGCATTTCATCTCTCCTTACAAAAAGACAGTAGTATAGTTGAAGTCCGCAGTCAAACTTGAAGAGGTAAGAATGAAAGAAAAATAAGGTGATTTTTACCTTTTATTATACGTACGATGCTGCAAAGTTATCTGCTTCCCCTGTTATCCTATGTAGCCTTTGCAATATCAATATTAATTTATATTGCCTTTCTCTCTCCCAAAGTCTCGGATAATCTTGTGTTATTTTCTTAACCTCTGACTGCAAACCAAGGAATTGTTTGATGTGGAAAAGCACAGAGTGTGTTATAAATTAGAGCAATAATTTAGTGGAAGTTGTTGCACCTCTCTGGTATAAGATTTCTGTGCTTCTATGATGGTGAGATCATGTGTGAAACTATCCCTCTTTCTCTCATTAGTTCAGACACAAGGAGAGTTGATTTTCCACTGATGGCAACACTAGGAATTTTGATTTTAATGGCAAGCTACCTGCTGGGGTATTAATAATAAAAAAAGAGTGGGCTAAATATCTAACAATATAAAGTGTTCACTTTTGGTGAATAAAGATGGATTTCTATTACCGAGCCCTGCATGTGGAATTGACTTAATGAGCTAATGCTCCTAAAATATTTTAAAAGTTCAAAATTAATAGCTCAATCTTGGATTTTGTTACCACTATTTTTATTGAAAATGTATTTCTTTATTTGAAATTCAGAGCTACAGAGAGGGAGATACAGAGATAGAGAGAAAGATTCTCTACCCACTGGATCCCAGATGCCTGCGACTGGGACTGGGCCAGGCCTTAGATGGAATGAAAATGAAAAGTGGAGTTAAAAGAAAATTAATTGAATGGGAAAATGAACATTAAATGAAGAAATGAATAAAAAGATAAGTTTATTTTGGTGGAAGACCTTGAAACCTCTGCACATTTTATAAAGTTCCCTCTTACTTATATTTCAAAAAATTCAAATTTAGCTTTTGAAAATAGTTTGCAAGTTTTTAAAGATTTATTTTTGTTTTATTGGAAAGTCAGATATACAGAGAGGAAGATAGAGAGGAAGATCCTCCATCTGATGATTCACTTCTTAAGCAACCAAAACAGCCGGTGCTGTGCCAATCCAAAACCAGGAGCCTCTTGCGGGTCTCCCACATGGGTGCAGGATCCAAGGCTTTGGACCATCCATTACTTCTTTCCCAGGCCACAAGCAGGGAGCTGGATGGGAAGTGGGCCCACCAGGATTAGAACCAGCGTCCAGATGGGCTCCTGGCTTATGCAAGGCGAAGACTTTATCTGCTAGGCTACCATGCCAGGCCCCAAATTTAACTTTATAAATGGTTTTATTTACAGAAAATGTAATCTTAAGCTACAGAAATAGACTGATTTCACAACCATTCTGGAAGCATGATTTGTTTCATTCACCACATTGATTTAGCTGTTAAGAAATTACGTGAGGGAAAATTTATTTGCATTTTAATTGTGATGGGGAGGTGAATTCTCTAAAAAAGTGAGTTATATCCAATTATATGCAAAATTATGACATTAAGTTTTAATGTATTTTCTGTCAATTCTTTGAATTTCTTATAAGTCACAGAGTGAAGTATGGAAGTGTTATTTAAGGGGAGACCCATGTAAACGGAAGAGGTTAAAGGTTACAATTTGGAAGAAAGGACTTAAAAACCAGAAACTTGCAGTCATATCTCAACCAGTTATTGAAAGTTAATTATAAAAATTGACCATTTTCTTTATCTTCCTCCTCAAACTTCTTACTAGTTTTGTGGCTCAACTGCTTTTTTTTTTTAAAGATGCTATTTTTATTGCCATAGCAAAACCAATAAAATGATGTGTCCTGGAAAAAATACCTTCTTTTGCTATCTTATATCAAAATACCTCATATTGCTTTTGGAGGTAACGTATTTTCACCACTGCGAGTTGTGAATGCTCTTAGCTGGTCACCTGAGGAGAAGGGGTTGGGTTGTGGGAGCAGGTGGCAACGGAAGATACAAAAGATGAGATAGTTGCCTGTGTGCTGCCAGATGTGCCATTGCTGCACTTATAACATGAGGACAGTGAGGAAAGAGCTTGGGAAGCAAAAAGTGACTTACGAACTGTCACCGGAAGTACAGTGGTCCAAATGGCCCACAGTGTCATGTTCTCATTGGAAGTACAGTCTTTACCAAGCACAACCCACAAGGTTTAAAAGAAACACAGTGTTTCTCCCCGCAGTAGAGACCAGCTGAAGAAATCAAGGACAGCAGTTGGCAGGGACATAAAGTTCATTTCCAAGGAGGGTTTAGGAGTTTGATGATGAAAATTACTTCAAACCATGAAATTCAAATCTGGCAGCAAGAGTGGCGTGTCCCACCAACTAAATATAAGTGGTCTTTCATGAATCTGAGGGGGAAAATACGGTAATTCAGTGTAACAGTTTTATGATGTTTTCGCCACAAACTTATCTCAATTCTTTGATATTTATCAGTTGATATTTATCAATGATACAAGCTAAAGCCAAAAAGTAAATGAATATTATTTGTAAAATGTTGATATGGATGACGTGTTTGTCAGAAAATCTTTTTTTTTTTCCTGAAGAAGTAAGTATTTTGTACATACTAAAGTCCGGCTTCAGACAGTTGGTGAAATGCTTGAGTTCTTACAATGCAACTAAATTTAGCTATATTTCTGTGTGCTATGTAATCATATAACGAATTCCAAGTGATATCTGTATAAATCAGTTAGCAACACAATGACGTCAGAAAGCAAGGCTATACATGTATACAGACGCACGCAAGTTCTGCTTAGTAAGATATAAAGACTTTAGCATACAGCTCATACATTGTGTGTGGCATGGGCACTGGGAGGGGTGGCATCAGTTACCAGTGAAGGACGGCAGATCGTCGCCCAGGAAGCCCCCAAAGCTGTGTGTCTGCTTGCAGGAGCCACCATCAGCGTCATCATTGACGTGGATGTGCACGCGTCGGTCATTGTCTCTGCGCTCATCGCCACCCTCTACACGCTGGTGGGCGGCCTGTACTCCGTGGCCTACACGGACGTCGTCCAACTCTTCTGCATTTTTGTGGGACTGGTAAGTGGGACATGCACATCTTCCTTCCTGCCCTCTCTCTTTTATTAAAAGATACTGTTGCATTTTATACTAAAAGCAAAATTTTATAGGAAGTCAGTTGTTCATCCTAACGCACACCAAGTCTATTCTATAAACAAAAATCCTCAATGGAGCAGTAACAAGAAAAGATCCAATCGTTTTTTGAGATTTTTGACAGAAAAGCATGACCCAGATCTAATTTTTAGGGAGGCCAAGGTGTTCCTATGTATAGATTTATGAAAACTGGAGGATTCTCTGAGAACTGAAAGCAACACATCTTCCTTAAGAATTAAAAAAAAAAATGTACATACATCAGATTGAAATTGCAAGCTTTACTGTTAGGCAGCATGGTAGCTGGTAATTGCAGTTCACAATACTTTGATACTTAGTAATAGTCTGTATCAAGGACTGGAGAAGAGGAGCTGATACCCGAATAAAAAAAAATCCATAAGGCATTGAAAACCCAGTTGTTTTGCTTAGTCTCATAGCGATGGATTTGCATGTTGGAATGTTGCACTGTGCCCCATAAACGTAATGAGTACTACACATTAGTACAAAGCATTAACTAACCAAGAGAGTAATAAAGTAATATTAGGATATTTTAGGCACAAGCAAAACTAGTGACACTTCTGCAGTTTCACATTGGCTTATTGTAATAGATCAAGGTAATGTGTATTGTAATAGATCAAGGTAAGGTGTGCATAACGTATTACCAACTTTGTGGTTTAAACTGTTCAGGCATCAAACAAGATTCCTTAGTAGGCCAGCTCTTTCATCACTGAAGCTATCTGAAATGCACCTTGTTTTTTTTTATTTGTTTGTTTGTTTCTTTGTTTATTTGAAGAAAAAGGTTATTTAAAAGGGACTTTCATTTTCCCCTCCTAGGACCTACTGTATACATTTTCCTTAGAGTTGCCTGCCTGTGCTCACTCTCTAGAAATGCATGAAAGGGAAACGATGTGATTGGAGGGATTCTGCGTGGTTTAGGGGAGCATCTTCGCTAGGCATGTGGGTAAAGAAGTTCAGCAAGTAAGCCAGCAGGTTTTGTGAATGGGAATGCTGTGTCCGAGTCGTTTTGCTTTAAGAGATTGTGATGAATACTAATGTGTTGAAAAAGCTAGAAAAAATGTCCAACTATGTTAAAAAAATAGTTGATAATAAAATGATTTTTAAAAACCATTTTCTTTAAAAAAAAGTATTAAGCCCTCTGGACAACACACACACACACATGCTTTCCTGTAGTTAGTCTGATTAACATTAAGGATGCTGAGAAAGTATGTAAAAGTTATTCCATCGAAAGAACTATGGGTTTCAAATATTAGTCATCACTACTTGGGGTATAAACGCAAAGAAAGGACTTAAGCATAGTTTTTTCTTTTTCTTTTTTTTTTTTTAAATATTCCTTACTGCTCTCTAAGACATAGGTTAAATTGGTTAATGTTTGTGTTTCCTGGGTTGAAGAGTGCCTTGTCAGATGTGGTATTTAGCATTACAACAGAATATGTCTGTGTCACGGACATATTCTAGTCAATGCTGTTTCTTGGCAAACTGGCAGGGTAGAATGCGAAGATTATAGCTGTGCATGTGTTACCTGATATTCAAGACAATACCTAAAGGGGTAGATGCTGTGTTCAGCCTGTGCCAGGGCTCTTTAGGTTCATGCGCTACCTCAACTCTAGACCCCGTAGGACTGCGGGTCAAAGAAAGGGCAAAAACACTGCAAGGTTGACTCAGACAAGGGCAAAGTACTCTGCAAATCCCTCGTTTGTTGCAGTCAAACTTTTTTAATTTACCCTGTTTTAGTTTTTAATACTAGACAGTTAAAAGTCAAAAAATGGAAAACAAGCCTCATACCCCTTATTTAGCTTTTTAGCACCTCAAAAAAAAATACACAGGAGGAAACTTTAAAAGCATGGTCACTTACACATTCAGCTTGTATAATTTAACTATACATTTATATATATACCAACAAAGATGATAATATTTGTTTTTTTTCTCCTGTTTAATTTGCATTTCAATTGCTTTTCAATGAGTTTAAGCATATTTAACTTGCTGAAGGACTACCACCATTTTCTTTTTTGTAGTTGAATTGCTATAACCAAGTGGGCAGTGCTAAAATCAGGATTTTTTTTTTTTTCTTGGTATCATTATAAACTTCCAGAAAGAAAGCCAAGAACATAAAAATAAATCTTTCTTCGGAGTGTCAGAGGCAAGGTTAGTTTTTTCAGTGACAGCTCTTGTAACTGATGCTCTTGGTCTACCCAGGGGATTAATTTATCTGTTGTGGTTATATGTGATTTCCCTTTGCTTTGGGTGAGTATGGAGCTTATTCAAGAATACAGTGTGAAGATATTAGCACAGAAAATTCACATCAGTCCATAATATAACTGAATTGATGAAGAATGACCTGCTATATTGTTAATTAAGGCTCCGTTATTATTCATTAAGTGGGCTAAATAAAAGACGCTTCATAGTGTGTTTTCCTAACTCTCATTGTTAAGTATGCAGATACAGTGAACTGATATTTATATCTTAAACAATCTGTGTCTTCTCAAATTCTCTATTTCCATTGGTTTTGAGTCCTCATCCTTGGAACCCTGGACTAAGCCGGGGGGTCCTTTGCTGGTTTTTCTCTCTTGACTGCTGGATCCTGCTTCTGGGCTAGCTGTAGCTGCCTCTTCAGATGTGGGCCTTGCTACTCCCAGAGCCTCTGCTGCCCTGGAGGTGTTAATCGCTCTGGCTGATGCCCCCCTATGGTTCTGTTCACTGCTAGTAGGAGAAGCCTGGGGCCATTACATTGTTTTGTTCATTGAAATCTTTTTAAAGCTTAGAAGCTAACAGGTTAGAGACTGCTTCTCACTTTCACTTTTATTTTGTTGATCAGTTGTTTTTATTTTAGGCAACACATTGATGGTTCTTGTTAAATTTGTTTCACCAGTCTGAGACGGAGAATTAGACCATTAACATTCAAAATTATTATTGTTAAGTAATTATTCTCAAGTAATGACTTGATCCTGCCATTTTTTTTTTCTAAAGCACTCCATTTTATATTTATTTTTTCCCTAGATTTTTTCACTGTCACATTATTTTATGATACTGACTATACTTTCTCTTTCTGCGTGTGGCACAACATGGTGACAAGCTCTTTCAATGTCTGTTTGTTTAGAAAGGTCCTTATTTCACCTTCCTAAATAAATGAGAACTTCCTTAGGATATGAGGGGGGAATTTATGTTTATCTTAGAATTGGACCTATGAAATACATGAAATGTATTATTTTTTTATATCAAAAATTTTTTTTGAAAATCTAAACACTTGAAGAAATTCCTCTACTTTTCAGTTGCCTATAAAATGAAATACAAATCTTCCTCTTCCTACTCAAAACTCCTTCCATATGCCTCTTTTTTTAACCATTTTCTTCAGACACTCCCATGATAGACAACCCTGTTATTACACACACACTTATACACCCCACATATGTGGTTTCCTATTTGCATTGCTCCGTATAAACTGTCCCCCTTTCAATTTCTTCCGTCTTTTGTTTAGCCTATCATTGGATACTGTGTTACATATTATAGTTTCCCAATCCTTTTTTACTATAGTGGATGAAGAGCCTTCCTTTCATGAAAAAGGAATCATGTGTGTCCATGTACATGTGTGTTTCTCATATATCATTTTTGTTCCTAAGAATTTCTGACTTTGTATTTTAACCAATGTTGTATTATCAAGTGCAGACGTGGAAAATACGTTATTTTAGCTTTTCTAAATCAGTAGTAGATGGCATGCCAAGGAAACACAACTTTACTTCCTTGTAGTTAAACTATTGCAAAATACATCTATGAGAAGATAAAGCAGGTATATAAATCTTGAGTTGTGGAGAAATGAGATACATGGTCCAAGGCCTTGTTGTCTCTCTTCCCTGCAGTGGATTGGCGTCCCCTTTGCACTGTCGCATCCTGCAGTCTCTGACATTGGATTCACAGCTGTGCACACCAAGTACCAGGCACCTTGGCTGGGAACCATTGAACCATTCGAAGTCTACAGTTGGCTTGACAGCTTTCTGTTGTTGGTAAGTGGTGCTTACCTGAGAAATGCAACATAATTATTTCCTAAGTCCAATGTGTTCTCACGATATTTATGTTTACACTAAACATGCATCTACTGGCCTGTGGCCATTTCTGAATGTTGGGGTGGTATCTTGGCTGGTGGCTGATACTGTCAAAAGCGGGAGCCAGTAAGACTAGAAAGCCTGTGGTATCTTACGCGCCGTGTCCACGTTTCTGCTTTGATGGATGTCAAGGGGTCCCATTCCATTCTCCAGGGACCACCCCCAGTCCAAGAACCAAGTTATCTGAACTTTTAATGTGTGCTTTAGAATAAAGCATTAAAAGCCAATTTATTCTAGAATGAGTAGTTCATTCAGTTTTGAATTACACAGTAAGTGAATCAGCGGTGCCGTAGTCCCTGAGGGCCTGAGAGCAGATAGTAAAGAGTATGTCACCCAGGAGACATAGCTAGGAATGCCAGCATCTGGGGGCAGCTTCAAAATGCACAGCACCGTGGGGCAGAGGAGCGAAGGACCCAGAGCATATCACAGACTGAAGGGACATGGAAAAAAACAAAAACAAAAACAAAGTAGTCACACAGGTGTTATAATTTGTTAATTAGAGAGCTGACATAAGAGAACATTACTTTGCCCTGGATTCTAGCATGAGGAAAAGGTTAGTATTATATCCAAAGTAAGGGGAAAATTGGAAATTTCTGCTTCTTTTTTTAGAAGATTGCCATTATAACATGACCTTGCTTAACACTAGGCTGAATTTCAGCATCATCTCAACATGCAAATTGGATGTGTCTGAAAGGTTTCTGTGCCTAAGGATTGTTGAGAAATCCCTTGGCTCTCATTTTTCTGGGATGGCTTATAATGACAAGTGGAAGGCTAAAAGATTAAATGTCTGTATGTGTGAGCTATTGCACCTGCTTTGCATATTTTTTTATGGTGACACGGAAGTGATGATGAGATACAGGAAAATGAGACAGTTTCTTGACAGTCATACTGTCTGCACTGTTGGATTGAAACAAAACACGAAGCCCTGTTAGTCTTTCCCTTATCCCATACTTTAGCCCTCAGAGGTCTTTAAAACAAGACATTCTGTTCAGTGATAACCGAAATTACTTGACTCAGTTATATTCTTGATTCCAACTACAAAGAATAAGTGGACATTACATGAATGCTAAATAAATCCAGTGTAGAAATACGCTTAAACTTTTTGGGCATGGTCTATGATCCTCATGAGGTTTGCATTCCTATTCCTGCTGGGTCCCTGCTTGATATAACAGTGTCTCGCATGCTGTATTTAAGTCCAACATGAAAGCACTGTAGTAAGCCAGTGGCTCCCCAGCTAGCCTGTTAGCTTTTCGCATCACTGTTCTCCGTGCCACAGCCTGCCGACCTCTCACTCCTCTAGGCCCATGCTCTATATGACTATTTATTCATCATTTGGGTTGCACCAACAATGTGCCATAGGCTGGATGACACATAAACAACATAGCTATGCTGCAGAGGCTGGAAGCATTCGATTAGGTTGCCAGGTTTGTCACGTTCCCTTGTGAGTTCCCTTCCAGGTTCAGAGACCTGGCTCCTCACTGAAGCCACACATTTTGGACAGAGGCTGAGAGGACCTTCTAAACTCGTTAAAAAGAAAAAAAAAGTACATTAAGCCCAGGCAACAAACTTACCGAATGCCATCACAGTGAGGTTTGGCTTCAATTCTATGGGAACAGAGACATTCAATCTGTTTTTAAATTTAAGTCAGTCTTTACTTTCCATAAACCTGTGATGAACTAAATGCCCTGGTTGGAATGCAAATGTTGATGCATTGTTTCATTTCACTCATTGGTTGCAAAATTAGAAGTTTTTAGAATTTAAAAATTTCTTCTTTTAACTTTTCCTTTTCTGTTCCCAAAGTTAGACCATGTGTGACTTTTATAAGAAGGAAATTGTTCCATAATCATTACATGACAGAAGCTGGAAGTACCACAGGCAAGGAAGTTCTAAATAAGATGTACACCCTGGAACTTACAATCCACTGGGACAGATAGGGAATTAAAATAGGCTCAGAACATTGTAGCTCAGCAAGCTCGTCCAGCAGTTCCTTCATTCTAATAACCAATAGGCTTTGGAAAGTGGCTCTGTGCCATCAGAGGGCTGGTGACCATGCAGGTGAAAGTCTGTCCTCTTCAGCTACACTTAGAAACCATGACCTCTGCCTGTACCAAACACGCAGGGGTCTCCCAACTGCCTCCCGTTTCTCTCCACATCCCTTTGTGATATCCGTCTGTTGGCAACACCTGCATTGCCGCATACCCCGAGCCGAGCGGAGGGACTAGGGTTATGAGACAGACAAGACAGACAAGACACACAACACACTGAGGCTCATTCTTGTGAAGTGAAGCCTTTATTCAAAGTCGAATATAGTCTGCTTGGCCCCTCCCAGGATCTTCCCAATGGTTAAGCAACACCTAAGCTCCCCCAAGGATGTGCAAAAAGGGGAAGCAGGAAGGAGGGAAATTGCAGTCAAGCCACGGGCTAAATGTATCAGGCCATGATTGCCCTTCCTGTTACACTTTTGAGAAACAGCTGAGCTGTGGAGTTAACCCTTGGGAGACCAGGGCCTACATCCGTCTCTTTCCTAGATCCTTTCTTAGCTTTGTATTTCCACCAATTAATATTCACTCAAAGCTCAGACTGATTCAATAGTCATTTCTATAGAAAACCTATAGGTTTTCCTCATCATCTTGTAGATGTTTTCGCTCCTCCTTGCCACCTTTTTACCCCCCCAATAATAAATTATTTCTAATTTAATTTCCATGTAAGCCTCTTTATAGCATGCAACAAATTGATTTATAGTTAAACTCTGGTTATAGAGTCTCAATCAGTAAGAACTTTTATCTCCGATGTTGGTATATGTGTTGTTTATACTTGGTGTACTAGCATGTGGTAAAAATCACTTGATTTTAAAAAGTAGCATTCAGGCATAAAGTAAACAGGAATATACTAGAGTTTCTAATACCTTACACTCTCCTACCACCTTGTTTTTGTACTCCATACTCTGCTATGGGAAACACCATAACCCATTCCCTCTCCCAGTGGAAGACAGTGCCACAGTTCAGGGCAGGGAGCTCACAGGCCTTTCTGGCCATGTCCCTGTTACCACTTATTGCCTGGCAGGATAAACAAGTGCTAGGCTGAACTGATTCACAGTAAGCTTTGCTCCTTCAGCATGTCAACTATTATTTTGAGAATATTTAATTTATTAATTTGAAAACTATTATTACATTTAAAGAACTACAGTAGGGAAATGAAAGAACTTTTTTTTTCTGTAATGGTATGGAAAAGAATTCTGTGAAATGCAAAATGTGGCAATAAAATTACCTGAGTCATTTTGGGTTGCTGTGACAAAATCCCATATGCTTGAAAGCTTGTGAACAACGGAAACATATGTGTCCAAATCCTGCCAGATTCTGGCGGATTTCATGTGTGGTAACAGACCCGTTCCTCATGGAAGGCAACTTCTCTCTGCGTCCTCTAGGAGTGTCTTCCCTCTGGGCCTCTTCCATAAAAACAGTCGTTGTACTGATGAGGGCTTTGTCTGCATAACCTCATAATCTTCCAAAGATCTTGTCTAATACCTAAGACCATCTTTTGGGGATTGGGCAATCTCAGTGAACAAGTCTGGTGTGAACTAGAGTGAATACAGCGATAACAATTGAGTTTTGAGCCATGGAAACATGTTATACTTCAGAGTCATGTGTGTAACTTTTCTAACTATGGTTGTGATGAATGAAAGAGGCATAGTAGATGTTGTGTATCTCCTGTTCACTCTAAATTCCTGTGGTCCTGTGCAGAGTCTCGGAGGGATCCCATGGCAGGCCTACTTTCAGAGGGTCCTCTCGTCATCCTCAGCCACCTACGCTCAAGTGCTGTCCTTCCTGGCAGCTTTTGGTTGCCTGGTGATGGCTGTCCCCTCTGTGCTCATTGGAGCTATTGGAGCATCTACAGGTAAATCCCCCATGGTGTTACCTTGACCAACCCTTCTGCCTCCCAACTGTGCCAGATGCTTCCCCACGTCCCTCTTTTCCCGCATAGACAGCTGTTGTCCGCTCGTGCTCCCATCATATGGACCTTTGTTGCAAGTTGTGTTCAGTGAGCTTTGGATGTTTTATTTGATCGCTCACTTCACTGCCAGAATATTTGGGAACACATCTGCTTTCTCAGCTTGAAGTAGTTTATCAGTTGTTTGCCAGTGTTCCTCTCAGCAATGGTTCTCAACTGTGATGCACATGGGCATCTTCCCAGGGAGCAGGCAGGACTGTTAAAACTATCTATTTCTGACCTACACCATGAACTTTATATTTTATGTGAGAGGCTGAAGCAGAAAGAAAGAAAGAAAGAAAGAAAGAAAGAAAGAAAGAAAGAGAGAAAGAAAGAAAGAAAAGCATAGAGGTGTATCTGTGTGTTCATTCTCCCGGACACCACAATGTTGAAGACTAAGCCAGGCTAGCAACAGGCATTAGGAATTAAGCCCATGTCTCTGGCGTGGTGATGGGAAATCAACTCCAGCTCCAAGGTCTGCATCAGAAACTAGAACCTGGAGTTAGAAGCAAAGCTAGGACCCCGACCCAGGCACAATGCTGAGACAGCACCAAAGCAAAGTTTATACATAGGACAAGGATAGGTAGGAATAGCCCTACTACTGTTTTTATCTATTTATTTGGTCAAGGATAAGGCAAAAAAAAAAAACCAAACCAAAACAAAAAAACTTATATCCTCTTACATCTTCAAATGTAGAAGGAAAACTGTGATTCAATTTAAACACATTTATGTTCTATGATTTTATCATATGATGCAACCAATCATTGCAGAAAAGGATACACATATATATACATATATATGTATATATGCATATATATTCATATGCATATGCATATACACATATATATGTGTGTCTGTTTGTGTATGCTTGTATCACTAAGCTTGTGAATGAGATCAGCTGAAACGAACGTCAGTGAGAATCCTGCTCCAGTGCAGTGAGCCAGGCAGCTACCTGCAGTGTCAGCATCCCACATCAGATTGGCAGTCCACCTGCTAGCTGATTCACTTCTGAAGCAGCTCCCTGCTAACGTTCCTGGGAGGGCAGCCAAGGAGAGCTCAGATACTTGGGCCCTGGCATGCATTGTGGAGCTCCAGGTGGACCTCCAGGCTCCTGTCTCATTGTGGCCGTTCGGAGAGTCAGTCAACAGCTGAAAGATCTTTCCCTCTTCCCATTCCACCCCAGCTCTCTTTATCCCTCTGCCTTTCAAATCAATGAGGTAAATATTTCTAAATAAGGAACCAGAACCAGAATATACAACATACAAGACTTTTCTACTTGGCCTGTGTGTCAACCAACGTAAGAATAAAGACTTAGTTGATTTCAAAACCACCTATTAATAGAATATCTCACAAATAGATAAGCGACATTCTTTGGTTATTTTGATGGTCATTTCTCTTCAACAGACTGGAACCAGACTGCGTATGGGTTTCCAGACCCTCAAAGTAAGAATGAAGCAGACATGATCTTACCTATCGTCCTGCAGTACCTCTGCCCTGTGTATATTTCTTTCTTTGGTCTTGGTGCAGTTTCTGCTGCTGTTATGTCCTCAGCGGATTCTTCCATCTTGTCAGCAAGTTCAATGTTTGCTCGGAATATCTACCAGCTTTCTTTCAGACAAAATGTAAGAATAGCTTTTTTTAAAAAAAAATTATAATAATTATCATTGTTGATGCTTTCATTGTATTGTGGCGTATATAGCATCCTATTAATATTAAAACCTACTCATGGTTTTATGAAGCATATGAGACTAAATGATAACAGAGTCTGCTTATGCTGTAAATTGGTGTATTAATTCCTGTTATCATACATTGTAATACTGAAGGGAACAATATTAGTAAGACTCTTTCCTAAGTAGCAGAGTTATATTACTATAATGTTTATCTTTTTAATGATAGTTAATTCTTATCTTTTTAATGATAACAATGTTTCAAATACCTTAGAAAGACTTACTAAAAATGTTTTACTTTATGAAGGCAGACAGATATAGAGGGACAATCAGGCACTGACATTTCTGTCCATTGGTTCACTCCCCCAAAACTGGGGTAAAGGACTCATTTCCGTTATCCCACAAAATTGGCAGGAACCCCAAAACTTAGCTATGTAAGGGTCTGTTAATAGATAGCTGAAATGAAAACCCAGAGTCCAGGAATCAAATCCAGGTGCTCTAGTGCAGGTCTTCATTTCTATGCCAAATGTGTACCACTTAGCCAAACTTTCAGTCCATTTAAAGTGCACTTGGAGACTAGTGAACCCTAATGGGAACAGAACATGTGGACTGACTTATTTCATGTCCGTTATATTATACTGGAATTCTCCTCTTGGAACTCCCAAGACCAACTTTGTTTGAAAACGTGCTGTTAGTCTGGTTCTCCTAGTTGAATCAGGGAAAAGTAGGACAGCATGCTGTTATGGTCACTAATGGACCAGTAGCCCTTATGAAGAACTGTTGTCTGTTACCAAGGCTTGGAGGGTGTCTTGGGTGGCAGACAGCAGTCAGTGTCAGAGAGGATGACATCCTCTGAAGACAGAAAGTGAGGATGATCCAAGGACAGGGAGCAAAATCTTCCACTTAATCCTTGTCCTATCACATTAGCTTGTTTCTGTGCACCTCAGGGTAGATTCACACCCTCTGTTCTGAGTGGGTGTGTACAGAGACTGTCTAGAGTAGGCTCCACCAGGAAGGTCACTCAGACTCTTTGCTGTGGGCGTTATAGCCTGGGTTAAGTGTGCCTCTAGATTGAATCATTTAAACCAGGAAAGTTCCTCAGATAGGTTCTGGAACAACAACAACAACAACAACAAAATAATGGCTCTCAGTCCTTGGCTAAAAGGTCAACAATGTCGTGTGACATTTCTTACAGGCATCAGACAAAGAGATTGTTTGGGTCATGCGCATCACGGTGTTTGTTTTTGGAGCATCTGCAACAGCCATGGCCTTGGTGACGAAGACGGTGTATGGACTGTGGTACCTCAGCTCCGACCTGGTGTACATCATCATCTTCCCTCAGCTACTCTGTGTGCTGTTCATCAAGGGAACCAACACCTACGGCGCTGTGGCAGGTTACGTGTCTGGCCTTTTCCTGAGAGTAACTGGAGGGGAGCCCTACTTGTATCTGCAGCCCCTGATTCTCTACCCTGGCTACTACTCTGATAAAAACGGCATATATAATCAGAGGTTCCCCTTTAAGACACTCGCCATGGTCACCTCCTTCTTAGCCAATATTGGAATCTCTTATCTAGCCAAATACCTCTTCGAAAGCGGAACCTTGCCACCGAAGTTGGATGTCTTTGATGCTGTGGTTGCGAGGCACAGTGAAGAAAACATGGATAAGACGATTCTGGTAAAAAATGAAAATATTAAATTAAATGAACTTGCGCCTGTGAAACCTCGACAGAGCCTAACACTGAGCTCTACCTTCACCAACAAGGAGGCTTTCCTGGATGTGGATTCCAGTCCAGAGGGGTCTGGGACTGAAGACAATTTGCAATGACCTAATTTTAATACACAACTGCTGCATTCTCAAAAAAGCCAGGGGAGTAGAGTAGTTCTGGAAGGATGGGATTCAAAATGTAAACCACATTCAGGAGGACAAACTCCTCCAGAAAGTAGAAAGAATGAATGAATGAATGAATGAATGAATGAATAAATAAATAAATATCCTAAAGGAGGATTTCAGGAGGAATAAAGTGTGATGGTCAAGTACATGCCAAGCTAAAAGGACATAGCTATGAGAGCAACAACCATCTATTTCAGTCACAATAGTTTTACTGCTGATGTTACATAAATTTGTTACATATACAAAGACGCACAAAGTCCTATCCAAAGATCATAGGCAGACCAAATGATTATCTTATTTTTAAAAAGAGAAGTAGTTAGGAAAGATCCTAAGGAAAAAAAAAAATTAGTCTCAATCCAAAGCTTGTTCGCTAATACACTGATGAGGCCAATTTCATAGTGTGCCAAGGCTGTAAAGGGTAGTGTAGTCATGGCAATCAATGCTGCAATGAATCAACCAGCTTATTTTCCTCTTTCATGTTGTATGCTATAACATTTGCTGAGTATGTCACCTGCTATTCTTTCTGAAGTGACGGGTGAAAGTCACAACTGGTGGCACTTCTTCATGTGCCAGCTGATAGGAATGATGGCTGTGTCTCTCCAGGGACCTGCGCTGCTCTCAGTGTCCCCTAACTATTGTATGCATGAAGAAGAGGACAGAGCCTGGGAAGATTGCTGGGTGAACTGACATCCTATGACCTCTCAGAAAGGTCATAGGGATGCACAGTAGATTTTTAATCTTTGATGTTTGCAAGTTTTTCCCCATCAAAAAAGATAGTACTCTTTTGCCTTACTGTCCAAACCAGAATTGGCAATTAATTTGAGTGAGTGGTAGGTGCACTGTTGTTGATGAGAGAGACAATAATAAATCAGCATGCATTTCATTGAATAAAATGGCTTGCAATTTCCAAACACCTCACAAGAGAGTATTAAAACTAGGAAAATAAACCTCATTCATTTTTAACTGTTTGTTAATGTGGACGATTTAGTGTGGAGGGAACTGCTCTGCCATTTTGCAAATAAGCTAGTTGTAGGGACAGGACAAAAAACCATGCACAAAAACTGTGGACTGGATTTTGAAACGTGGAAAATAAGCAAAAAGCAAAATAAGTTCCTAAAGGGAAGAAGCCATCAACTTTAACATTTAATGTATGTGTAACTGTCATGAGGTCAGTCATTAACTATTATTTTGCTCCTTTTCTGGAGTTTGAAAAAATATGTATATATAAATGTACACATATGTATGTAATGGTTTGTATCCATTATAGAATTTTCAACAGCTTTCCTACCAGCCATGCACTATAGAAGTATATGGAGCTGTGTTTTAAAACCTGAGTGAACCGCTGCAGGGAAAAATTATCTGGGAATTTGATCCAATAGAGAAAGCCAATCTGACTTGCAGAAACCAAAACACATTTTCCAAAACTATTCTTTTTTTTTTTTTAATTTCTGAGGCATAAACAAATTACATTAGCTCAATGTCCAGCATTAGATGCAAAAATTGCACTTTTGGTCCAAGAAGTCCTTCATATGAGTTTTCATCATAATTGTCTCAAAGCATCAAATCAATCTCCCTTATTATTCTTAAATACAAATTAGATTCCCAGGGTAATGGTTTTAATATAAAACAAAGTAACTTTACACATTGCACTGTTCCATATTTTCAGTGCTTCCTTGAAACTTGAGAATGAATGTGATATTGCAATTAAAATCTTCACTGAATATCATATACCATTAGGTAAGAAGAGAATTCCTTTATGTACCTACTTGCTCAGAATCTATTCAGCATCTGTAGAATACCTGGAATATTTTTGGAATTAATGAATATCTGAGTCCAGGATTCTCTGGCTGAGAGAAGAATCAGTGGCAAAAATATATTGAAGAAAGCACATGGCGATAAGATACTTGAGAGGGAAATGGATGAGCTGAGGAGGACCCCAGATCCTGCCAAAGGATATTGCAGATGCACCTGCTCTCCAGTAGGGTATCCAAGTGATGAGGCTTATCACATCCATTTCAAAACATTTAGACTCAACTTACTGCTTCTATATGCACCGTGGAGTACATGTCCCTCATACTACAATTTGACAGGGAAGCACAGGCTGTTTACAGATAGTATAATTTATGATTTTGCTGGGCAACAATTGTCAAATTCACTGTACTTAAATCCAATAAAAAGAGCAAGTGTAAGCAGAATTCCTTTCCACTCATTCAACGATAAAAAGTTTGTTCTGCCTCAAATATTGAAGGTAGGTCATTTAAATAATTTAATCTTACAAATAGTCATATCTTTTTGCATAATCCTTTGCTTTCCACCTCCTGTCAAATTAACATTGAATGTAAAATGAACTGTTAAACCTAAAAATAATTGTGCTTACTATGGCAAGATGCCTTTTTAAGCACAATGTAAAGATCAAAAGGAAGAAGCAGTCACAAGGTCTTATTTGTAAACATTAATGAAGAAGTTCTTCCCCAACCTGTTTCTAAGGAAGACACAAATCTGTAAAACACAGATGAGACTTCCTGCCTAGTTCCAGGTATTTTGATATCATGGAAAATGCAGACAGCTTTGCATTTGCAGAGCTTCATTCATGAACCCGACTTTTCGAAACTCATTCTTAGCATGAGTGAAACAACATTTTAAACACTGACCATATTAGCCTCCGGAGGTTAAGCATTAGAATAAAACGAATACTTAATTTCATACTTTTACAATGATTGCAACACATATCTAGGGTGATTTTAATTTTTTTCACACGTTTAATTCCAAGCATGACATTTATAGCTGGACTGAAATGTCAAAACTAGCTTTCAGACACTTGGTGTCAAAATCCAGTCTCAGTGCTACGCTTATAGTTAATAAAGAGTGCGGTTTTCGGATGAATGTCACCTTGAAATAAGTGGATCTAATATAATGGGTATTGGCTTTTTTCTTTTGAAATAATGAGGGATGTGATATTTTCTGTTTAAATTATGATTTGTGTTCTTGGTTGCGCCTTCACAAATTTACTCCAATGTGGTGTATAACTTATCGTAAGTTTGCTACTGAACAGATGCACATAATGCTTCTAAAACATATATTTTTGTCCGTCAGAAATTATATAAAATGCTTCAAATCCGTAGATTTACAACTGTATATGTAAATGTTTTAAATGTAATTGTCTTGTATTAAATTGTGCTGGTACAATTCAGGATATTGTTGTCCAGTTGGCATTTTGGGAGTCCTCTCTTACAAGAAGTAAAAGTGGTAGCTTAAGACAATGATAGGACAGGCTGAAAATAAGCCATCTCTGTGCTAGGGTGTCAAAGCCAAGCAGAAGCTCTGCAGAAGTCTTGAGACAATGTGTGATGCTGTGTCTCAAAACAATGCGGGGAAGGTGTTCTAGTGATATACACAGGTCATTCATTAAAGCAAAGAAATCAATAGAGAGAATGTCCACCCCATTAGCATAGGGGAGCTCTGATAATAGAAACCAAATGGCATCTGATTTGCTGGCTTAAAAGTATAATTATTTACACTCTCAGAAGGACCGTGACCTCCCACTGTATTATAACCATCAGTGCTTCGGCTGCATAAGGAGCTCAAGGGTGAACGAAGGAACGAAAATGCGATTAGGGCAGATGATCATTGCACCAGGTTGCGCACATCTCTGAGGAGTATGCATTTTGCTTTGTCAGAAATCTATACTATTTAGGAAATTATTAGGAGCCAAAAAATGTAATATGCTGGAATACACTATTGGAGACAGTATTTAATCTTTAGTCTAACCATTTTGTGTCAAGAATTAAAATTCAATCACTAGCATTTTCCTAATGTGAACACTTTTGAGACCCCGGAGGCTCCAGGACAATAATAATGCTGAGGTTAATAAGGATAATGTATTATTTCTACATCTTTGCACAGTCACCTGAAGAATTGATCTACAAACAGAAAAGCTGCCAAGTTAGATTGTTTACATTTTTAAAACATCCAACAGTGTACAACAATTATGTTGTGATCTCTATTGGAAAAACAATGTTAGCTATTTAAGAGACCTGTGGCGTATTTAGATAGAAGCTGCAGTGTTGATGTATCAGCTTATGATCTAGGAACAGTTAAAAACATAAACATCATAGGATGTGGGATTTGCAAGAAGATTCAGAGTGGTGGGTGTGACTAGAGGGAATAACAGATAGCCCCTGTGTCTGCTGCAGGTGCAGCTGGAGGGAGTTGCAAGCCGTAGAATGGTGCTGGGAACCATGGACCCATTGGCTGCATGCCATGCAGCTGGAGCTGGGAGAGTTACTGAAACCCTCTGGGTCTAGTGTTATGCAGCGATAACTCTATATATTCAGATTATGACGCCTTCTTCATTTGGAAACCTGTTTGCAGAATAATCTGGTTTAGAGTAAAGATGCAGGCTATAAAGGAAGAAATACACAGCTTTAAACAGTAGTGCAGATTCCAATTAAGGCCCTCACTTGGCCCTCAGAGTCCTGTGGTCCTAACCAAGTCCCTCTGATTTTCTGCCTTGCCCCCATGGATAGAACACATAGTACATTTTTTTAAAGATTTATTTTTATTGGAAAGTCAGATGTACAGAGAGGAGCAGAGACAGTGAGAAAGATCTTCCGTCCGATGATTCACTCCCAAGTGAGCACAACGGCTCATGCTATGCCCATCCAAAGCCAGGAGCCAGGAACTTCTTTCAGGTTTCCCACACAGGTACAGAGTCCTAAGGCTTTGGGCTGTCCTTGACTGCTTTCCGAGGCCACAAGCAGGGAGCTGGATGGGAAGTGGAGCTGCTGGAATTAGAACCGGCGCCCATATGGGATCCCGGGGCGTTCAAGGTGAGGACTTTAGCCGCTAGGCCACTCCGCTGGGCCCCATAGTACATTTTGTGTACTGAGAAAACAACTGTACAAGGAGATAGGAAACTATAAATACTGCTCTAC